TTTTTATGGATGGGTGCTTTTTATTTCACTTCTTTTGGACTGAAGCACTGCAACACCCGCTGACTGCAATGATAGAGATTGGAATAGCCAGGACCATTTTTTATATAACTCCGACTGGATTCGTCTGAAAGAAGAAAGTCTTATACACCTAGGATGCCTAGGGGGTAAAACACAGCCTAATTTTCATTTTTGGGTGAACTAACCCTTTAAGTGTTCAGATTCAGTATATGCCATTGTGTCAGTAAGAAGGTCCACAGATTAATCAAATAGTATATTAATTAAAATGAATTGTAGCACTTTTGGAAACAAAAATATGAGGCATCGAGTTTGGACGTCAGCACCGACAGATTAGGCTAATTTATTTAAGAAAAATTAATCTGCATAAACTCAGTCATAAAACAAAAACAAAGGAACAATTGCAAGATGAATTAATAAATCACAGAACATTAACTGGAGTGTGAGAATCATTTTATTATACTGCAGTGTAGTAAGACATTTGAAAGTAGCCAATGCTTTGTCCCTTTACGCTTTCCGTACATCCAGTTGTGCTTTGGTGTATTTAAAGGGTTAGTTCACCCAAAAATGAAAATTAGCCCATAAATTACTCACCCTCAAGTAGGGTTGGGTACAGAAACCCAGTACCAATATGGCACCGGTTCCTATGTAACCGGGATGTACTAGAATCGAATCAGAACGCAGATTTCTGTGCCTCATTTCGGTGCCATGCCTGAGCGATCGATTGAAATATTTGTCCTCTATTTATACAGTGAACACTATGCAGTTTTATTTTACACTTAATTATTACATGTATGTATCTGAATACTTCCGACCTTATTTGTAACATTGTTCTGTTGTATTTATCTATGTATGTAATTTGTGTAGCCTATTTGTTCTTATTTTTACTGGCTGTTCACTTGTCTCTTTAATAATGTTTGAACTTTCTTAGGCTAAGAGTTTTTACTGTGGTATCATACTTATGGAAAGCAAAGTTACATAGATTTTTTTTCTTGCTGATTTGAAAAACGATCCGATCCATAGCTCAAAAACCGTAATATGATCCGAACCGTGAGATTTGTGATCCGTTGAACCACTACTCAACAACGTTAACAAATTAATGTACGTATGAACGTGTTGTGAATTAGTTCCGTGAGAAGTTCACCTGTGCGTACAAATACGAAACAATCTATGCAATTATTAGTGAATGAGACCCAATTTTTGTCAAAATTCACTATAAATATAATAATTAATTCCCTTTAAGGTAAATTTACCAGTTTCCCTTACAACAAAGTAAATAGCAGTACGTGGAAATGGCCATGATTTCCCAGAATGCTTTGGGGTTTTTTACAGTAAATTTACCGGTTTCCCTTACAACAAAGTAAATAGCAGTACATAGAAAGGGCCATGATTTCCCAGAAAGCTTTTTTTTTTTTTTTTTTTTTTTACGGTATAGTACAATTTTAATTTTAAACAGTAAGTTACTGTCACTTTTTACAATGTGAAGTTAACGTATTAAATTTTTTCCCACTGTAGACCTGGTGTCACTGAAAGAGGAGAGACAAGAATTGAATGAAATGGAAGAGAAGGATCAGTGTGTGGAACTTAGTAATTTTAAAACTGGAAAAAAAAACTTAAAGACTGCAAAAACTTCCTCACGAAAAAGAGCCCAGAAGACCAAATCTAACACCTGCCATCAGTGTGGAAAGAGTTTTATACATAAACAATCTCTTAAGGCCCACATGAGAATTCACACTGGAGAAAAGCCTTTCACCTGCCCTCAGTGTGGAAAGCGTTTCGGACACAAAGGGAACCTTATGAACCATATGAGAATCCACACTGGAGAGAAGCCTTTCACCTGCCAACAGTGTGGAAAGAGTTTCGGACACAAAGGGAACCTTATGAACCATATGAGAATCCATACTGGAGAGAAACCTTTCACCTGCCAACAGTGTGGAAAACATTTCACTCAAAAATGGAACTTTATAAAACACATGAGAATTCACACTGGAGAGAAGCCATTCACATGTGATCAGTGTGGAAAGAGTTTCGCACATAAAGAAACCCTAAATTCTCACATGAAAAATCACTCCGGAGAGAACAGCTATGTATGTCAGCAGTGTGGAAAGAGTTTGAGTCATAAAATAAGCTTTAAGACTCACATGAGAGTTCACACTGGAGAGAAGCCTTACGCATGCTCTCAGTGTGGAAAGAGTTTCGGATATAAACAATCCCTTGATTCCCACATGAGAATTCACACTGGAGAGAAACCTTTCACATGTCAACAGTGTGGAAAGAGCTTCTCACGAAAAGGAGACCTTAAGCTTCACATGGTCGTTCACACTGGAGAGAAGCCGTTCACATGTGATCGGTGTGGAAAGAGTTTCGGACGTAAAGTAAACCTTAATCAACATGTGAAGATGCACTTCTGGAGAGATTTAGTTTTAGAGTTTTAGATGTTGTCAGTATGGAATAATTTTCACAGACAGGAAAAACCTTATGCATCATGTAATAACTGGAGAGAAGTGTGCCATCACTATCTATGTTTACCCAAATAATAAATTAGTAATCTGAAAAGCCATCATGTAAACGCATCAATCAGTCTGACTAAGCTCGATCCAAATAAAATTTCGATTGTATTGAAGGCGGGGGGGGGAGTAGACCTGACTTAATTTGATCAGTACACAGCAAAATCATTACTGTTATATTTCCAAAGACAGTGTAAAATACACAGTGTTGGTGTTAGTTTGACATTCTAAGTTTATAAAATAGCACTGCTGGTGTTATCTTCATATTGGCGTTAAATCGCTGTTAAAAATGTTCTTTTTTAATTAACCCAAACTGGTGTAAATAACTGCAACTCCATGTGTTGCTCATTGCATGTTTAACAGAACCATAATTTTCTCTTACAAGAAGACAATGATGAAAGATCAAGTAAAATTGCTTTCATATGGACTTGCTTCATGAAAACTGTGAGAGAATGTAGAGTGATTTTCAAAAGACTAGGAAATGTAAAAAATAAATCGTGAACTTTTTGGCGGCGTTATGCAAATCTTCCCACATCGTGACGTAGATATGTGGGGGCGTGTTAAAAAAAAACTAGGGGTGCACGTAAAAATCTATTCGTATATGAATCGCAATTCTGTCTTCTAACAATTCTAATGGATTCACTACTTTCAAAATCAATGTTCTAAAGCAGCGGTTCTCAATCCTGTTCCTCGCGTCTCCTGCACTGCACACGCTCTGCATCTCTCTCTCTCACCTGATTCAGATCATCAGGTCGTCAGCTCCAACAATGAACTGTTCCAATTATACACCTTATGTGTATAGACAGATATTTTTCACAAAGCTACAAGAAGCATTAAACAGGTACGTGCATGCGGTTGCCGTGGTAGCGAGCAATACTTGCTGACAAACACTTCTTACTGTTACAAAATAAACAATTACTTTACAAAAATGCTATAACGCAATCATGTATTCTGCTGTATTACAGCTATAATCAGGATAAAACCGTATATTAAAAGCTAACATAAGCAGTAGCATTTACAAATAACAGCTTATCTAAAAGTATGAGCAGGGTTTGTACAGAAACTGCAAAATGAAATTCCAGGACTTTCAAAGACTTTTCAAGCACTACTTTTTTGGTTTTTAAAGACTAAAATCAGAGATCTCACTTATCAAACAATATCGTTATTATCTTCCAAATTCTAATAAACTAAACAAAATGGCACAAATAAAGTGCAGCACATGCAAAGCATGCAGTGACTGACAAAGGATACTTTGGCAAAGTTATCACTTTCCTTATTCAAACTTTTTTTTTTTCATGAATATATGATTGACCTGAAGAATGAAAGCTATATCAAACACTTGGAAAATTATGAGCTATATCACCACTTATCGACACTAGGGGTGTGACGAGATGAGACAAAATGCACATACTTGGTTCACTAGAACAAGACAATATTTTAATACTATTTTTAATTAAAAAAAAATAATTTTTAATCACAAAAAGCAAAACAATGCAGTTGTATTTTGAAATATTTTAACTAATCTAGGGCCGTAACTAACGATTATTTTGGTAATCAAGTAATCTACTGATTATTTTGACAATTGAGTAATCTGATATTTTTTAGTAATAAAAATAGACCGAAGTGAAAAACAGGCTTTAGAATGACTATATTTATATATAAACTAACAATGAGGCAATAATAATTGGATAAAATAAAGTATAAAAACCAAGTAATCACATGGTTTTATTAAACACCACTGTTAAAATACGTAATTTAATATGCCTATACATAATATGAACATAACCGACTTAAGTACATTAAGTATTATAACAGATACCTGCAGATGGTGCCAATGGCCAGGTGATGTTTCACTTTACAGCGTGATTCAACAATGTTTAAATCAATTTAATTTTAATAGTTGGCCACTTGCAAACTCAGAGCAAAGGTTTAAACTTTTATTTTAAAATCGCAACGTACAACAAATCGCATATTTAGAAATATATTTATATATTCTCCTGGCTTTCCAGTGGGGGCGGCAGTCATATTTCAGGGTGACCGTGCCACTCTTTATCACAACCCTGATAAAAGTGCCAGTACGTGCGCTCATTGGCGCCCCTTCAGCTGGTGGCGCCCTAGGCGACCGCCTAGCTCGCCTATGCCTAGAAACGGCCCTGTGTGTTGGCATAGTTTTCTAAATGATTTACGTTATAAATCTAGTGAGATAACGCACTGTTTTCCCAGATGAATGTTAAGCAACCCAAACTCACAGCATATGCAGAGGAAGAGTTTGTTGACCGAGCTGCTGAGATGGAGACGCGCGCCACGCTTGTAAATGATAACAGTGCAACACAAAGTGCGTCAGAATTTATAATGTTCGTTCCCAAATGTACGTGATTGGAAACCCAAACAAACAGCACATGCAATAAAAGACCGAACAATATAATGCAAGTGTGGCATGAGGGGCGATTTTATTAGGATGGGAGAGAATAAATCTAGCAGCGTAACAGTCTCGATTTGTCGGGGTGCTCCGCGTTCGTTTACGGCTGCAGTGCTGTCCTGTTTCCAATTTTTTTTTTTTTAAAGAGTTCATTTCTGTATTGTTACTCATGTCTCTGACTCTAATTGGTGATACGAATCTGTGTATGCCTCTGTAGGTGGTTTATTCTAACTCTTTGAGTGAAATTCCCATAGTGGCGTAGTCTGAGTGAGACTGATATCTTGTTCAATTCCCATTGTACTTAAAGCAAAAATCCCCTTTTTGCCCTCGTACCCCCGCCACACAAGTACTGTCAAAGGTTTTACCACAAACTCAACTGATATCGCTAGTGCGCTTTTCACCTCAAGGAGTATCATTGTGATGTTTACTATCGCGAGATCTCGTGCGCTCCCAGGCTCTGTATTTAAAACGTTCATTTTGCGTGAAAAGTTTTTTTTATTGAAAACAAAAATTAAGACGGATTTTTAAAAGGCGGTATGTATGAAATTAAAGTACTTTTCAAAAATATGTCCTGCATTTTCCAGGACTTAAATTTCAAAAAGTCAAATTCAAGTGCTTCAAGCACTTTTAGGTACCTTGTACGAACCCTGTATGAGACGACAACAAACAAAAAAACGTACCATTCTGAAATGTCATGTAAGAGCCGTGCTTGCACAGGTTCTGTGTGATCCTCTTGACTAATGTTCTCTGGGTCTCAATCGGGCTCAAACTGATAAGCAATATAGACGACGCCATTGTTTACAACACAACCGGAGCACATTCTGAGCCGAGGGGCGTGACGTTTCTGCACGCGCACTAGCGAATCACAACACACTGGGCCAGCTAACCAATCTGAGCCCATTGCGTATTTCTGAGGGAGGGGCTTCATAAAACCAGGAAATCATCAGAGCGTTCACAAGAGAAGGGACAGAACGGTGTTTTTTTTAACTAAGCATAACGCATGTTAAACTGGTTGTTTTGCATCCACTTGGATGGAATATATGAAATGTTATCTACAAATCAATACTAATTGTAAAAAATAAATGCCTAAAAATGAAAGGTCTCTTTAATTTGTAGCACAAATTTGAGTGTTTTTAATTAACTCTCTCTCTGACTGACTCCCTTAACAGTGTGCTGACTACTGAACTAGGAAGCTGATTGAGACGCACTCGGATTTAGTTTCGATTGATTTTTCTTTCTGTTAATTATTCTCATCTTAAACAGAACAAAGTGTCCAAACTCACAGAAAAACAGTTGAATCATCTGAGATCCACGTGACACACTATTATAAAGATGGTGTTTATTAAAGAGGAGAGTGAAGACATGAAGATTGAAGAAATATTCAGTCTGAAACATGAAGATACTGAGGAACAAACAGAGATGGCGCTTATTAAAGAGGAGAGTGAAGACGAGCACTTTTAGGTACCTTGTACGAACCCTGTATGAGACGACAACAAACAAAAAAACGTACCATTCTGAAATGTCATGTAAGAGCCGTGCTTGCACAGGTTCTGTGTGATCCTCTTGACTAATGTTCTCTGGGTCTCAATCGGGCTCAAACTGATAAGCAATATAGACGACGCCATTGTTTACAACACAACCGGAGCACATTCTGAGCTGAGGGGCGTGACGTTTCTGCACGCGCACTAGCGAATCACAACACACTGGGCCAGCTAACCAATCTGAGCCCATTGCGTATTTCTGAGGGAGGGGCTTCATAAAACCAGGAAATCATCAGAGCGTTCACAAGAGAAGGGACAGAACGGTGTTTTTTTTAACTAAGCATAACGCATGTTAAACTGGATCCCATAAGCACAATCAAGCCTCGAAAAAAAAAAAAATGTCAACCACCCCTTTAATTGCTGTAGAAATGTGGCACTTTTTCAGACTTTTCCGTAATACCACTAGCTGTCAGGAACAGGTCGAATTTTTGTACCCAAATCTTCCAGTTTCCGGCAAGATTTCCTTGTAAACACAGGTTTAATGGTGGCTGTAACTGTGCTATTCTTCATCAAGTTTGATGCACTTACAACTTCTGACACCATGTATTATAGTTTTTCAAACCAATAAATGAGACGACGCACTGGTGGCTCAAGAACTGACATGCTTTACTGCCTTCTTGTCAACCAATCACGTGCACATTACGCACTTACATCATGACGTATCATACTTGAATATATTAAGCCTGTAGCAACATTCCCTACTCTGCCTTCTGTTAAAAAATAACATTTTAAGGTAAAATCTACATATAGTTCCAAACAAAAGTAATGTTTAGTGTAAAACATGTTGAAGATTAGCAAACAGGTTGTTGATTCAAATATTCTATTATTTGTGTGTAGTTTTCTATGCACTGGATTCTAGAGAGCAGCGTGTCAACGGGACTTTTATTTTGGTTTTGTGGCGTGACGTCATAAGGCTGCGCTCCTGCATCTGTTGTGATTCGGATGAAGACAGGTTTGTGTTTTTAAGCATTTAAAAGGTTCAGTCTGAGGAACAAACAAAGATGGCGTTTATTAAAGAGGAGAGTGAAGACGTGAAGATTGAGGAAACATTCAGAGCCAAACATGAAGATACTGAGGAACAAACAAAGATGGCGTTTATTAAAGAGGAGAGTGAAGACGTGAAGATTGAGGAAACATTCAGAGCCAAACATGAAGATACTGAGGAACAAACAAAGATGGCGTTTATTAAAGAGGAGAGTGAAGACGTGAAGATTGAGGAAACATTCAGAGCCAAACATGAAGATACTGAGGAAGGTTGGTTTTTATTCTCAAAGCTGAACTCACTAATTTGATCCTTTTTTAAAATGCTCAGCTCTATAGAACATACAAGTTGGACATTTGTTATTACGACATGACACACATTAAATTAGGAAAAATAATACAGAAGTCTGAGCGAAATAATTCATTTGTGTAATATTAAAACCTACTATCTATTACTAAATTATAGAAATCATGTCTAAATTATACTCTGCAAGAGTGGGAAAATTCAGACCATGTGACTAACAAGATTACAGGCTTGTTCGAGATTAAATTGAAAATATGAATTTTTTTCAATATAAGCAATAGGTTAACCAGGGGCTGGATTCACGAAACATTCGTAAGAATACATTTCTTATTAACTGCCATTTTCTTCTTATTTAATAAAAAAAAAAAGTTATATTTATGTTTAATATTTTGTACTCCTAAAAATTCTTAAGAATATTCTTATCTTTTTTTCCCCTTAATGTTCTTCCGACGAAACTTAATTTAAATCCTTAAAGAATCTTAAAAATCATTGCAAATCACTTCTGAAAGTTAGGATAGCCACAGAGTTGTCTCAAATCCCAAATAGTAAGAATTATTTCATAGTTAAAAGGGTTCATTTAAAATTAATTGTTATTTAAGCATTAAAACAACACTAGCCACATATGATACATAGGAGTATTAATAGGGATGTTAATGAGATGTAAACAATGATCGGTTATGATCAGTTTATGTGTGACGCTACTTTTTGCTGACTTAAACTCAGTAACAGCTCTACAAAAACGAGTCAGATAGGGAGCTCGTTTTTAATTTTAGCCTATAAATATGCCATAATCTTTGGCAGTAATCAGCGCATATGACGCGTTTGCTGTAGCAGTGCAGACGCACAAAAACACAGCACAAAAATGAATGAAACCGATCGCTGTAGCTTGAGACAGGCTCTTTAAAAGTAACTGTTCAAAAACAGCGCATTAAAAACGCAAAGTCGAGCGCCAGTCAAGCTGGTCGTGACAAAAATAGTGTGCGCACTTATTATGATTATTAGGGTAATCTGAATAAAACACAGATTTACAACACATTCATTATACAGACAAATAAATATTAGGTTACACTTTATTTCGATAGTCCACTTTATACATTCTATTAACTATAAGTAACTTTGTAACTACATGTCAACTAATTCTCATTAATTCGCAACTACATGTCTACTAACTCTCAGAGTAGACTGTTAGGGTAGGTTTAGGGTTTAACTTTCTAGATCTTTTTTGTGCCCAAACATACACACTACACACTGACTAAAATTTAAAAAGTGAAAAAGCATAATAGGACCCCTTTAAGGATTGTGTGCCTACTTGTTTGGATTCTAACCACTCAAGGGCATGTTCTGCTTTCGTGTTGTCTCGGCGAAGAGCGCATGCGTTCAGAGTTACGCGCTCATTGTGATGAGTCACAGTGTCTCACGGTTCTCTCCCAGGGTTTTCAACACCTAGAGTGGTTATGGGGAGTGTCTCTTCCTGTGTTAAGCCGAGTGTAGCCATCTGCGGGTGGTTATGCTCCAGCTCAAGCTTACTTTGCTCTGGAATATGGCGGTCTGAGGGCAGCTATGTTCTAGCCTGGCTTCTTAACTAGGTTGGGTTCCCCTTGGCACAAGTTCTCTCGATTAAGCACTGAAGTCTTTGTCTAGGAATCTGCTATTCGAGGATAGCTGTGTTCCAGCTTGGAGACTGCTCCCCTTTTTAGGGTTTTAAATAGTGGTCTCTGTGAGTTTTAAATAGATGGCCCACTTCCGTGGTCTGGGCTATCTTCAGCCTTATCTGAGTGAACTGCTATTCAAAGATAGCTGTGTCCAGCCCTCTAGTATTATGGCCACAGCTTACATCAGGCTTTGATCTTGGACTAATGATGTTTGTGTTCGCTCTTAGCGAATCATTTACTGATGGCCTCCCTCTTGTGAGCTCCTGGTCAATAACACGGTGCTTCGCTAGCCCACTGTGCTCACTGATTGCTCCCCTGCTTAAGGTTTTAAGTAGCGGTCTCTTGAGCCCTTACCTAGACAGTGCTGTCTCCCCTCTTTGGGTTGTAATTAGACAGCCCACTCTTTGTGATCTGGGTAGTTTCAGTCGGTCCCCCTTCCGGTAGCCCTTCCTAGGTACATAGCTATCTGAGGATATCTATGTGCTAGCTCAGTAACTGCTCCCCTTCTTAGGGTCTTTAAGTAGCGGTCTCCTTGAGCCCTTGCCTAGATTGTGCTATCTCCATAGCCCACTCTCTGTGGTCTGGGCAGCTCTGCAGGAAGGCTATCTAGGCTAGCTGTGTATTGTCTACTGTGGGACTTACACGGATTGGGGACCTCCTTAATATAGCCATCTGAGGGTGGTTATATTCCAGCCATTTTTTGGCAGGACAGGCTTACTTGAATAGAGCTATCTGTGGCCATCTGTGTTCTACTGCAATTGCGGTGAGCACTCTCATGGAGTGGTCTCCTTTCCTAGAGCCTAGCTATCTGAGGATAGCTATGTGTTAGCTCAGGGATCGCTCCCCTGCTTAGGGTTTTAATTAGCGGTCTTTTGAGCTATTACCTAAACAGTGCTATCTCCCCTGCTAGGGTAGTAAGTAGATAGCCTTCCTAGAGAGCTGCTCAGACCACAGAGAGTGGGCTATCTAGGCTCTGACGTGGATTGGGGACCTCCTTAGTATAGCCATCTGAGGGTGGTTATATTCCAGCCATCGGTATGGCGGGACAGCCTT